TGTTAAAGAGGACACGTGAGATCTTTATTTGGTTTTATAACCATAAAAATTGGTCTAATTGATCCCAGAGGTGAGCCCAAAGTGAGGTCTATTTTCAAGTCACATTTATGGTATATGTTGATCATTTATTTAGAAATGAAATGTACTTTTCTTTAAGGATATTTATTGGGCTTTCAAATAACACTAATATTGTTGGGATACCATGATTGTGTCAGAAGAAAATCTTTAAAGTTCGCGTCGCGGAAGGTGCGGTTTATTTGATGTTGAGTGTATTTTAAAATTATACTTAATTGAAAAAAGTCTAATGAAAACTACGATAATTTGTAAAGGCTAATTTGTCCTGACGATTTCAAAAAAATACTTACTTAGTTAAATGTGAACCAAAAATAATTTCCTTATGGAAAAGTGCAAAATCTTTACAACCAGTTCAGTACTTTGTAAGTATATACGTTCTGGAAAATCAGTCTATTAACTACCCGCGAAAACTATTTAGAATCAATTTGAAGTATTTTTCCTTAATGGTTTATTTTAATCCGAAATTACGTAGCCTGGATTGTGAATTTTTAACTTGAGCGTGCTATAATATCCTTCTTAAGTAGTTCTTTATGGACTTTCATATTAAATAATAAAACTTTGATTGACTGATGCCCGTTTTCACCATCAATCCCTAATTTTTAAGTGACCCCTATGAAAACAAAATTCCTGTTATGTGAAATAGAATCATCTAAAATTATTAAAATAAAACTCAAATTACATCGACAAGTCCGCCCCTGGCTACCGCGGGTCATGTAAATGGAGCGCCAGTCGCCACGAAGTGCCACGAGACTGGCACACGCTGGCACAATCGGCACACGGTTGTTTGTAAACACGGCAGTACGGCACAAACCTCCTGGTTTTGGGAAATAAACCATATCTTCAACGTAATATCAAATAATCAACGTCACGAAAAGGTCGTGTGAAATAATGTTGGATCTTACGACATTTTGAAGATGTCATATAATTCTTCTTCTTCTGGTCGTGGTGTCGACAACAAACCTATACAGTCACAGCCTAAAAGTCTTATAATTGTGAATGAGATTCTTTATCAAATCATTTAGTCTCCACTACAGAACAACGTACCTACTACGACCCTACGACCCTCTTTAACCTTCGTTCGTTTCCACTAAGGACGTCCACAGGTCCACTGCTGGACAAACCCCTCCGCCAAGTATTCCCACAAAGTTCGGTCTTGCGCTGCCCATCCAGGCCTGGCCCGACGGGCCTGATGTTCGTTCGTTCCAGGCAAATGGCTTCCAAGACCTTCTCCAAGGATTTCCATAACGACCGGTCCTGTGCTCTCCGCATCCAGGCTCTTCCCGCGACCTTCACCAGATCATCGGTCCACGAGGCCTGCCTACGTTACGTCTTCTGGCCCGTGGTCGCCACTCGAGAACTTTTCTGCCCCAACGGCCATCGTTTCTACCAGCTATGTGCCACGCCCACCTGATGTTTGTACCTGTATTGTATTATGAATACTGGTTTAAAGTAGTTTAATTACCTTATATTTATGGTGTTTCAAAAATGTCCTAGTTACGAAAGAAACCGGAATCATACTGACATAAAAGGCTGTTATTTACATTTTACGTAACAAAATTTTCCGTAAAATAACAAACACTCAATACGACTAATAAAAACGTAATCAGTTCAATGAATTTTAACTCACAATTTCATAATTTATTAGCTATCTTGAATTTCCACTATTTCTTTACACACGATGAAAACAATAATCGAAAAAATACTAGAATCTTATTATAAATATTTTTTTAGCTAATGAATCGATCGGGCGAAAGTACCTATCTATTTATTAATGTTAAAATTGAGTGAAGCATAATTTAATCTGTTAGTAAACACTGTTTTACGGTATAAAATCGTTTACTTTACCACATTTTTGTCGGTGTTAAAAACTCGAAGTCAAAATCAAAGAAGAAAGTAGTATAAAACTACTTACGATGGATTCTTTGATAGGGTCTTGAATTGACGCCAGCGCTGAAAAAGAAAAAATAACGAAAAAAGGGCTTAAAAAAAAGCTAACAGGCCATCAATTAAAAACAAAAAATAAACGGTTTAAAAAAGTAACAGCATAAAATATACAATGAGGTTAGACCAGGCCTGTTCATCTCCGCGAGTTTACATCGAAAACAAAACACGCACGATTGCCCCCTACTAGAGTACTATTCGACAAGGCCTCACATACGAGCGAACATTGACTCACGCACGCGTATTCTTGTGTATGATGGAAAAAAATAAAGAAAATGGTGTACTAAATACTGTGCAGTATTTAACTGCCTAAATAATAATAAAAACACAGAATGTACTTTTTTAAGTTGCCTCAAGACACTGAGAGGTAAATAAGTAGTTAATATTATTCATGATAATTCATGCTAAATCATGTATTTCCTCCGCCATTTTCCGCAGTTTGGCACCTCACGTCACATCATTTTACCGAAGTCAGCCCTATAGCTTCGGTGCAGTGCCGATCACTGACGTTTGTCAACAAAATGGTGCTTGACTCTTGAGACAGGCTAAATTACACCATATTGTTAATGACATTGAGCATACATTTTTTTAAATACCTTCGCGAAGTAAAACTTCTGTACTGTTAATTATGAAAAATCTAAAACGTTAAAATAACGATATAGTTGTGGCCAATGAGTTGCTGTCATAGTGACATTGACAATGGGGATGTTGCCTGGGTCAAAAAGCAAGAGTTTTAATTAGTCCGTCAGTTAACTTATCAAAAAATACTCTACACGTATTTTTCACTTTTTCAAAATAATGAAAATTTAAAGAGATAAAGCGCCCCAAAGTTCATAAGAAGAGGCCCGTGACGTCAAAGCTTGCTTAAAAATGCCGCACGTTGTAACGTCGTGCGCAACTTCAACGCACCATAACTATGTAATTATTTGTTAGATTGACAAATAAAAATATATGTGTCCAATATTTTTTGATATTAAACATTACGGACTAAAAAAATTTTTTTAGGCAACTAGCCTATACGTCAATGTCACACGAGGATAAAACGTCAGAGAATAGAGGGACGCGCGGAGACGACTCCGCCCGCTTTTGTGTTAAGTGATGAATTGTATCTAAAATAAGGCAATATAATGTGACAGATGAGTATCCAGTGTTTTATTTATGAGAATAGATCGACCGGCCTCTAATAGTACGTAGTACTTATTATTATTCTGTGGTTAGACTAACACCATCCTCCACTTGAGTGTGAATTAAGACTTCGTTTTTTTTTTTCATAAAAAAAATATAATACGGTTCTCTTGCGTTCATTCATCGTGTCGTGGTCGCATGAGATATTACCAACACACTGGATTAGTCAACTAGCGAAAGCCACTAATAAAAAAAATCGTAAATCGCCTCCAACCAATTTCTCTGGTGTGTTGGTAAAATGTATTAGGTACTACTGTATTTTTTATAATTAAGTCTACAGCGCTTACATGACAATAAACAAGACAATATTGGCCACGATACTTTTTTTTAGTTATTTAGCTGTCGGAATTGCCTATTCCTAGTTTTGTAGACTGTCGTTTGAAATATCAGATATACTTACTGTCGTTTGAAAAATTTTTACCGACTTAAGAATGGAGGAGTTTATGTGTGTTTTTTTTTAAATGTTGCTTAATATTTGTCTCGAAGCGCTGGTGGGTCCAAAAGATAAGGATATGTAAAGTGCCCCATAAGCGCTTTTTTATTTAATGTATTTTGACGTTCATAAGTGCCACTATAGTGGTCTAAATTGAATAAAATATTTTTCATTTTAATTTGATTTTGATTTTGAAATTATTGTTGACCCTGCTGATATTTCTTTATCTTCAAACCTGCAAATACTTACTTTTTTGTAACGCTTTTCAGCACTTGCCTTTAAGTCTTTAATATGACATGTAAAAGCTCCATAAGAGCATTTATTGATTTGTAAGCTTTAATTCAATTAATCACACAAAATAATAAATAAATACTTAGGCATACGCGGGCGGTAGGTACTAATATATGAAATGATAAATTATCACAAACATTTTTGATATTTATGAAACATTTTATATCTTCAAAAATATTTGTTTACGATCAGATTAATTAAGCGACAAAAATTACAAGTCTTGTCGTAACTTCAGTGAAACCAATATCTCAAATGTAAATATATTTACTAATTATTTGATGAAATACATGTGTTATGTATGCGATAAAAAAAACAATGTTGACACTTCTGGTGATCCCAATTGATGTATTTTTTATTTCTATTTTAAAATGGTTTAAATTGTATAAGACTCGTGTAATATGCCACTTGCTACATAAATTCTGGCATCCTGCATCTTTTACTCCAGGTCATTTTGGTCTTCATTTTAAAATGATTTTTCGGGTTATTCCGTATTCGACCCATGACAACTCAACCCATTTCTTCACTCATCCCAAATAAGTATTCCTAGCTCTACCCATTACAGAATTTCGTTATTCTACCCAAATGCATTCCTCACTCAACCCAAAGTAAATATACCAAAAACAAGTATGGATAGCAAAGCAACGGGTACTATTTGTCCAGAAATTTAATTATGATAAATACATACTAGTACATTTATTTTTATTTAAAAAAATCACCTACATGTTTGNTAACAGTTAGCATTATTTTATTTTTAAATAAATTTAATAATAATAGATGTCATTTCTATCGCATTCGTCGACATCAGTTGAAAGCGAAAGTTGATGCGCAAACGCACGCATCGTGTGTTCAATGCTCATAATGGGGTTCGGACGAGCTGTCTAGCTACTAAGTACTGGTACTTAGTAACTACTATTAATGAGTGATTAATCACTTAATGTGTGTTTAAAGGATGCTCGGGGAACTTTTACTGTGATACCAATGACACATGGTACAAATTACACATGCGCTTGACTCCTCTTTTTTCAACTTTAAGATTTAGATTGGTAAAAAAACTATAATTAAGAATGTTTTACAGAAGAATTTAAAGAGCTGGAAGGACAGGAGAGGCCAGTGTTCAGCATTGGATATCCTGTAGCTGAAATCATGATGATGATGTAACAAACTACGAGTATCTAGCTAGACCGCAGAAACTAAAGGGAGATGTGAAAAGGGGGCGGGGCCGGTGTCACAGCAATATGCCCAAAAATAGAACACATTGCTCGCGATAGCAATGATGACAGCGCTGCTGTCGTTATACTGATGATCTAGAGTTCTAGACGATCAGACGTGACGTAAGTTATCGTATATGGGTTTCGTTTAAAACTTGCAAGACAAACAAACAAACGACAAGGTAAAGACAATAAAATCTCACACATAATGCTTATTACGAGTCTTGCAAACAAACAGAAAGAGGTTTTGCTTTCACTAATAGGTAATTTTACGCAACTACGAAAGTTGTCGGCCTTTGTGTGACAATGGAACTTCTGAGTTAAGCACGAGGAACAAATTGGATTGTGAAGGGAACCAGCCATAAGTAAATAAAATAAAAATAAAATAAAAATTCATTTATTTCCAAATATACTTGTATACAGAGTTATTACCGAGTCTTCCCGGTAAGTAGTCAGAGACACTTGTATTGGGAATAACTCGCTACTTCCCATTAGGATATCTCTAATTAATTCTAGGAGTGTTAGTTCACTAAGTAAGCAATTACTTTGGTATGTAAGAAAATTACAGCAGTATATTGTAATAAGTTATGGTTGATTACTGACTAAGTGCTTATGAAAGAAAAAGTTATTTACACATACATTTACTTGTGCACATACACTTTACTATAATGATAGAAAATAACTGAATTTCAAACTAGCTTTTCTACATATTCGTACGCGATGATTACACAATTCTGTCGAGTGGACCTCTCATTAAAAACGACCAAGCTTCACCTTTAGATAATCCATATTTAATTCATTGCAGATTGTAGTCACTGACTGATGAAAAGATCGAAGATACTAAAATATATTATTTAAGAGCAACCCTTGCTGTTTTCTAACTGGCTGACTTGATAAAAAGGCTTAGAATTATTTTACTTGGGTATTTGGACCGCAGTAAAACAATTAAAATATTTGGTTATTTAATGAAAGATTACGTTTAATTTTTTCAAAAATCATTTATGTGGGACAAGATAACAACAAAGCTACATCTTAATAAAACATGATGACAACACAACGCTCGGCAACTCGAATACAAGCAATTCGGCGCATGTCGAAGTAAAACAATAGTGATGTAGCAATTTTCTTAAAATTACTATTTCACATGGCTCGTTAAACTGTAACACTGTTACGACATGCATTGTCAAAACTGTGGATTGTTATTTTGCTTTATTGCAATGTAATTGCGTGTGTTAGTTAGTTTAATATTCATTAGTTTTTGCATCGGCGAGTGGGCTCTAACACAAAACAGACAGTAACAGAAGACAATCACCTGTGTGTTACTTCATGTTGCATACGCACACACACGACGCGTGTCTCAAGCAAGCGGCATTCGCGCGCGCAATGGTTTAGATTGGTTTGCGACTAGGGTTACGAGATGAAAAAATCAAAAGTCCGGAGAAAATTCCTGATTTTCATTGAAGAAACAGTTGCAGTTTGAGAATTTCCTCTAAAACTTACTGGACATTTTTAAAAAGTCGCATCAGTATTATTTTTATACACTGCGGATTTCAGAGGATCATGTTCACGCATAGCCACGTAGATAAGTACTATAGATTAAGAAGAAAATTAAAACTTACTTAGTGTAAGTGTTAATTTTCATTTTGCAATTTATTACTCAAGTCAGAAAGATTATTTTTTGTTTGTTTAATTTTTTTCCTATTTGATTGAACATCCTGTCGCAATCCTTACAAGAGTCCAAAAATCCTGAAATCTCAGGAAAAATCCTGAGATATGGAAATGGTGACCCTATTTGCGACCCTTCGCGCGATTTTGGCGACATCTCGTATTGAACGGTGCATGTGTGTTTCCCAATCGCACTTTGTCTGTAGATTGTCTTCTGCTCCCATCTACCTTGTGGCATTAATCGGAGCGAGCCATTGCGAGAAGTTCGATCCAAGTCAATGACTTTTAAAATAATTTATGACATTACGTACGGACATAAAGTTAAACATAGGTTTCTTATGTAGCTGTAGGTAATAGATTCTGTTTTGCTACAAAAAAAGTAGTCCAATGCGCTGTTGACTGTAACATGTTAAAGTAATGCACTAGGTAGGTCTTTTAACATAAAAAGTTTATTTTTTGTAATTATTTTACATAACATAAAAAAGTAATATTTACAGTTAATTGCTTAGAGAAAGTTAAATATGTTTTCATTTGAACAAACACAGTACATGATAATTAGTGGATTTAATTCCTTACAGCAGGTACCTAATGCTATGTAGAATAATAAATTAATTATGATAAAGGTCATCATAAACGAAATCGGGAGTCAAACAACATTGCGACCATATGTATAGCCATTCGGTTTCAAAACTGTATTATCATAATCATTCAAGGACAAAATTGACACAAAAATAATAATTAAAAGGTATAATAATATGTTAATATTCATAATTTTAATCACTGTATTCGTATTATTTAAAATAAATTAATAAACTTAGTCATTGTCTATGTTAATAAATAACGGACGACGATATCACGAGACCTTCGCTCACAACATTAATTACTTACTATTAATATTTCATTCATAAAAATTGCTAATACACCAAACCTCTTGCATACTTTATTATTAATAAGGTTGGGCAATAAAAATATAATTTCCATTTTGAATTGAATGTGGAGGCAATAAAATTCCAAAAAACTCTGCATAAAGTATGAATGGCTTCCAACAGCGCCACCGCAATGTAAAAGTTCATTCATAAAACTTCTGCACATGGCCATAGTGACCATCTGTCCATAAATGACAGTCATTACGTTTTCATTCATGAATAGCAACGACAAGTCATAGTAAAAGAAAAGGACTCTACCATGGTAATTTTTTGAAAAAGAAATCCTTAAGTAAGAAGACCCTTTAACATACTCTTGTAAGAATATCATACCTACACACATCATCAAATTGACTAGTCGATTTGCAAAATCAACTCGATGTTCCCCGTTCCCGACCCGTTTACTTTACTTTGTTTAATTAGTTTAAGTTCTTCAACTTTTGCGGCAATTTCTATTTTGGAATCTTGCTCCCTTTGATTTATTACCACAATATTGCTCATCTTATCTTATACAAGCAGCCTAATAACATAAAATAAACGTTAGGAAAAGTATACAATAAACTTTTTTCAGCTAAACGAATTCTTTTTTTAATCACATCAAACCGACTGATTCTTCTCAGTCCCGTTATTCATTAAAGCTGTGTTTTCCTTGTTGTAGGTATGTAGACTGACATGACATACAAACAACAACAACCCACATGATATAACATAACAATGGATGACGTAGTCTTATGACGCATGCGAGCTGAAAGTAACGTGTGCTGTCTTCCAGGACACTATCATTGCGATTCAATGAACTAACAAGTTTGTGTAATAAGCTCTTTGTTTTGGAAACGTAATTCAAAAAGGTGATAGGCAGAGCAATTTTACTCGTCCCAAATAAAATTTTCGGCATTAATTGTGGCAGGGCCACTGCTTCAGGACACTATATGGGCCAGTGTGAGTGTCTAGTAACACTATTGTCATTCGAATTTCAATTTACATAAAAATGTTATATGGTATAGTACTCGTATAGGTACTGTAACCGAATTTGTGCGATATGCCTTAAAATTTACTACACCAATTTGATTAAACATAATCATAGTCTTTCCGTCCCTTGGTTATGAAGTTGAACTTTTTCGAGGTTCCGTGTTCAATTCCTAGGAAGAACACACGAACAAGGACATTAAATAACTTTGTATTGGTTGCCACTATGGAAAGAACGGTTCAGGCTTGAAAAAACCTGAGGTGGAATTGTGTAAAGCAATCGTTATCATTTGACAGTTCATAACGTACGATAAAGTCAGTTAAACAAAGTGTTTGACAGAATAATCGTACGTTATGAACTGTCAAATGATAACGATAGCTTTACACAATTCCACCTCTGATTGTGTTAAAAAAATATGTATATGATTCACATTCATGCCATCATATTTTCTGCCGGATCATAAAACCTAACACCAGGGTAATAAAGCAGCCCTACGAGTACTACAAATACTACAATGAATGGGCAGCAGCTGACACTTTCACCTTGTACGGTCATGCGCAAGCGGGTTATTCCGTATTCGACCCATGACAACTCAACCCATTTCTTCACTCATCCCAAATTAGTATTCCTAGCTCTACCCATTACAGAATTTCGTTATTCTACCCAAATGCATTCCTCACTCAACCCAAAGTAAATATACCAAAAACAAGTATGGATAGCAAAGCAACGTTTACTATTTGTCCAGAAATTTAATTATGATAAATACATACTAGTACATTTATTTTTATTTAAAAAACATCACCTACATGTTTGATAAAATATACAAACATACATATGGGAAAACTTGCACTTTCAACAAACCGTTGTTAAAGGTAAAAGTGTGAGTTATTATCTTTTTAACTGTTATCTATGCAAATGAGTAACCGATACCGCTTGCCAAGCGGCTTGTCCATCCATTGTTCACCCTTAAACCGGTTTTAATTGTTTTGACAATGTTGCGAATCGGCCTATATTTTGTTTTGTTAGAAAATGTTTAAAAATGTTGATTAACTTAAATATATCGAAGATTTTATTCTATTTTAAGGTAATTAAGAAACTTTGGTCAAATCATACCGCTCAAAACTTATACCGCGGGATTAGTTATCCGTCCACATGAATACTTTTATTAAGATTTATAGTGGATTTATAGTAGATTTATATTAGATTCAAATTATGTAAGTTAATGGTTCCTCTTTAATCTGTGATTTTTATTATAAGATTTTAAAAAATGTATCTACTTTTTGTTTTGTTATGAAAAGTTATAGTTCTAATTGCATGTAGTCATTATTTTATTTGTGTCCTTTTGTGAAAAACGTTTTTCAAATATATTATTGTATCAGAACTCCTGTAGTTATA